TTTCCCTATCTTTTCTCTTTCCACTGCTTTCTCTCACCATATTATTGGCCATATTGACTGAAGTAGAATTTAAAATATTTCCATCATTGGATATATTGAATAAAGTTTTGTTTTATCCTATTCTTTAATTTTTTTATTATCCTGTTCTTAAATTTTAAATCAGCAGTTTCACTTTTTTAAAAAATGTTTTATTGATTTTTTTTTTTTTTTTTACAGAGAGGAAGGGAGAAGGATAGAGAGTCAGAAACAGCGATGAGAGAGAACCATCAATCAGCTGCCTCCTGTACACCCCCAACTGGGGATATGCCCGCAACCAAGGTACATGCCCTTGACCAGAATTGAATCTGGGACCCTTCAGTCCACAGGCTGAGGCTCTACCCACTGACCCAAACCGGTTAGGGCAGCAGTTTCACTTTTTACCATATCTTTAAAAATAATCCAGGGAGAACCAAGTTACATTTAACCTCTTCTGTGACCTTTTATTATTTTCCCGTGTGGGTCAATGACCCCTGAAAAAAATGTCCCCTAGTTTGGGGAACAAAGTCTATAAAATGACTAAACTAGGGCTTTCCACATGGTCTACAGACCTTTGTGTTTTAATATTAAAATGTTAATACAGTGTCTGTACTTTTGTTTCTGTTATGAATTTACCTAAGATATTTATCCCGTAGGGCATTGTCATTCATCCCATTCATTTTAATTCATAGTATACTTCCTCCTCTCCTTTCCCCCTTCCCTGATGAAAAGCATGTGAGAGAATAGGTACTTCATCTGCAAGTCTGATAAAAATACTAGGAAATCTACCCAAGATTGCTAATTTCAAAATAAGCCCAGAATTGTACAAAGGGTGCATAGCAAAACTACAGTTAGCTCACCTTATTTTTATCCCGTGAGCCAGAACAGAGTGCTATCCCCTCAAAAGTTTGAATAAAATGGTTGTAAGCAGGCCTTCCAGGGTGGCAATCACAGCTTCCATTGCTACTTCTGGGTTCCATCCAATGCAAGTACAGAATTTTTAAAAAGCTAACATTTATTGGGCTCATTCTATCTGCCAGGTACTTCATACATGTCTTATTTGTTGAGAATACTTCCAAACATAACTCAATCAGATCCTACTTACTGCTTATTTTCGCCCAAAAGATAGAAGTGGCCAAATGCATGGCCCAACCCATGAGCACTGAAGTGGGCTTGGACTGAATGTGAGATTAAGCAGAAGCACATGGGCCTCGTGTATTTGTATTAGTGGACTCTGCCAGCCAGCCAGTACCCACAGGGCATCAGCCTACTGTGGATTGGTAACATATGTAAATACCCAAAATGTGTTTAATTCTGGAAATTTAATGTTGTCTTAGACTTACTTTCTTGGTGTCTTTTCAAACACAGCTTCCAGTTTTAAAAAAAAAGGGGGTCAACTACAAGTAACCACTTGCTTTGTTGTACTTACCCCAACACATGTTCCCCACCAACATGTAGATTGGGTTTTCTTTCCTAGTACTGGTGTGTTTTTGTAACTGTTCATCGACATTTACAGTTTTGGATCTCTGTATAAAGCTACTTTGTGTATTTTGAAATCCAAGTAACTGGTCTGGATGGGCTCTGACTACAAAATACTATTTTTTGGTTTATACTCTATATTCTTAAATCCATTCTGTGTGCAGTGTAAGCTTGAGTACCTACTAAAATGAAGGTCAAAATGTTTAAATAGCATTTCTCTCTAAGAGTTCATATGTATTGTCATCTGTGCAGGAATGACTTGTGTACTGAATAATTTTTGGCCCTAAGAATATGATTATTGAACAAAATTCCCACTCTCTACCCGATAAGCACATGTAAATTAGCCCAACTCTAGAAATGAACTCAGATTAGTCAAACCGCCTGCCCTGGCCCTTTATTGGTGGTTTAAATGGAATGGGCTTATGACCGGATTCTGACCAAACCAGCTCCAAGAGAAGGTTGCTGGAAGCTTCTGGAAAAGTTCTTTCTTCTTAATGTTCATCACAGCCTTATTTATAATGTTTAAAAACTGGAAATACCAAAATGTAAAACAAATTGGTTTATCAAACAACAAGACATGCAGCTATTAAAAATGATGATGAATGTCCCAAGTAGATTTTTCTGTGGAAAAAAGCACGTTAGAAATAACATAATTGTAAAGTGCATTCCAAATAGTATTCTATACATTTTGTTAATTATTTTTATCAATGTATATTTTATTAGGATACCAGAGTACCTCACAGAATCTACAGAAATGCTGAATAACCCAGCTTCCAGAAAGCAGGAAACGGGACTGCCTTGAGAACGTCACATAAGAATCCTGGAACTCTAAAAAGCCACAGAGAGTCTCAGCCCTTTGAGTCTGTCACTCCATGAAAGTTGGTCTCCTTTACAGTCTCTGCACTTGGCAGGTCAGTGGTGGCCGACAGTCCAGTTTTGCCACCAAGAGAAAGAGAGGAGGCCTCTGTTCACTCCCAACCTACAGTTAGAAGAATGTCGGGAAATGGCTGGCACCTCTTGGGTAACACATCAGCTCCTTGACCAAATCCCCGAAGCCAGAAGGAGTCAGGTACATGCCTCCTGACCAACTGTGGGAACCAGGGAGGCCAGGCCACACATGACGACGCCTCCCTTCCTAATTACATGTCTAGAAAAATAGGGGCAGAGTCTGAAGAAGAGGCACAGTTCTGTTCCAGAAGTAAAGAGTGCTAGACCGACAAACATTCCTACATAAACTTAAGTGAGCATTGGAATTAGCTGGGAAAACATGTTACAATTACACAGTGAATCTGGCTCTTTCTTTCCACACAAACTGGGAGACAAACATGTGTATTTTACAGTGGACACTAGATATCCTAACCCCAGAGAATCCCCCTCTTCAATAATGGTGTGTTACTTGTGTAATAAATTGTGCCTGTGTGTGCGTGCGTGCGTGTGTGTGTGTGTGTGTGTGCGTGTGTGTGTGTAGCTAGGCATCATAGGCTTACTGGGTAATAATTGGGAAAGAAGAGCATAGATCCACCAAATCAAAGTTTAAATAGAAAATAAGCTAATGTGGAATTTTGCGAGCTTTCGGTTGCCTGGAGTGGTTTGTATGATGAATCTGTCTTGGTGTTCATATTTTTTTCTTGCCCTCCAAACTTAATTTATCAACAAATCTCCAAACACTGGAATTATATAAATAATATGTCTGAGCAAAGTACACATTTTGTTTATGGGATGTTGTGAAGGGACTTAGATTCTGACACTTTATACATAACATCTGTAACTTTTTCTTTCATTTTTTTTTTAATGCCCGTGGGACTCTGGAGTCGCCGTTTAAGGGAGGTCCTCACCAGTTCCTGTGCCAGAGAACTGAGGCACCTCTGATTTTAAAACAAAACACACTGGGAAGTACGCTTCTAGGAGGCATGAGAGCACGCACGGAGCCATGCCTGTTATTAATAAGCTTCGTGCAGAGGAGACAAAACTTGCGTGCCCCGAAGCCGGCAGCCTGCGCTCCGGTTCCTTTCCGTGCGAGCTTGCCTCGCCAGCCCCACCTGCGCGCCCTGCGCGCGTAAAGCT